AAAAGATTTGCGTTGTCGCAATAACCTGAAAGAAAAATAAATAGCTGAAAAGGAATGGATTGCCTAGAGTTAAAAAACACATGAGACAGATAAAACAAAAATACAGAAATTTGTAAACTCACCACATTTTATTTGTTAGACAGCACTCTTTTTTTTAAAAAAATTAAAAAACGTATAAATGCAAAACATCACTATCTACAGCCACACAGGCCACAAATTAAAAATTATAGAACAATTTTATAGATGTAAATGGATTTGTATCATGCTCAAAAAATCGTCATCAATTTCTTCTAAAAATCAGACTCCACGCCTCCCTGATGCACAGACGTACATCAGGGGGCCCACAAAGAAATCGAAAATGAATGTTCTAAAAACAGGGGGAAAAGAAAAGAATCCCTCACTTCCACGCTGCCATTACTTTTTGTTGAATACTGTTGCACTTCGGGAACTCAGCTGACAGGTGTCGCTGCGGGAAAAGTTCAACCTAATCCCATGGCGTTTCAAAAGCTGCTCCTCGAGATAATCTGCTCCTATAGGATCAGTCCATGCAATTTCTTCCTTGTACAAAGCAATACTTAAAGTCTTATATTTTTGCAACCTATGTCTTTTCTTAAAGACATTAAAATTGTTAAACAGTGTTTAACACTACCAAAATTTTACTGAATCCTAGAAAAATTTTAATAAGTCAAACTGATATAAAATGATATTTGAAGAAACAAATTTTACCAAATATATTTGTACAAAATATATTAAAAATGGTAAAAATCATTAAACGAAAAAAGCTGGAGATTAATTATATTTTACAAGTAAAGATATACAGTGAAACCTCCGTTAAGCGGACATTCTGGGGACAGAAAAAATTGCTCGTTTACAGGAAGTACCCTATTAACGAAGTTTAACACAGTAAATTGTTTTTAGAATATTTTCAAAGATGTAGAAATAATTAAATAATTTACAATAACTATCTTCAAGGATATTTATTTAAACTTTAAAAAAATCAAAAAATGAATATATAAAGAAGTTTGATATGAATACATAATTTTAAATGTAGATGCAGATAAATGAATATAATTTTCCTATCAGCATAGATACTCAAGTTAGACATATGATACGGAATAGGAGCTAAAGTCCTCAGTCGGTTTCAATCATTAGGTTTACATCCCCTTACACCTACCTATCATTTGATAGGGGTTAAATAATGTCTAAAATTCACATTATATCAATAGATGGCGCTGTGCCAATTATTTACTTTCTCATATTTTGTTATATTTTTATTCCCTCTTGTACTGTCTTTATTAAATAAATGTTGTGTTCGTTTCTCCGCAATCATCTTTATTTTGGGTATCCAAGTATCTTTAGAGTACAAATTGCACATGGTGCCGAAACCCGGGAATAGGGGACTTTTTATGGAAATGAAAACTTTTGGAAGAATACTTGGATAAATTAGTTTAGGACCATGGTTGCGAAAGAAATGTTAGGGAATCAAAAAATGAAATGAACTGTGGTAAGACAACTAACTACTAAATTAATATCGAAAATTGAAGCGAGTTAAGCAGATGAATCGCAGGATGCTGAAAAAGCAGAACTTTTAATGGATTTAAGTGAGCAACTAAATGCAAAAATGATGGAATTAAACCAATTGGATGAAAAACTGGAAAACACTTTTGCTGAACAGGAGTTCGAAAGCAAAATAACCACCTGCCAAGAATATCAAGAAAAAATAGTGACATAGAAAGGGAGGATTCAGAGATTTGTAAGTGATAGAAACGAAACTGTTGTTGTTAAAACTGAATCAAAAAGAATGAATCTACCTCCTCTGCAAATAGGAACATTTTACAGAGATTCTACCAAGTGGTTGGATTTTTATAATCAATTTGAAACAGCTATTCATAACTACAATGAATTACAAAAGGCTGCAAAATTTAACAATAGAGAACGTGGTTAATACCTTCTTGAAAGTAAACCTCCCAGGATTCACAGAAAAAAAAGCAATGCCTACCTGTTAATCATGAGGACCTATGGAGTTGATTATTAACAATCGATCAGCTTTCAAGTGTCTGAATAAATGTTTCATTTATATGAACACCTCAAAGATTATACTTTTGTTCTCATTTTCACCCTAGCTGTGTTAAATACAGTCTTCAAAGAAATACAGTCATAAGAAAATTAAAGAAATTTTCAATGGGGAAGAAGGGTTGAGATCATTTAAGATGTAATTTCAACTTGAGGGGTCTCGTAACCTGTGTGGTTCAGATGAAAACATCAAAAGATGTCACTGTCCAAATTATTTAAGGAGAGCAGTATCATTTTCTCTCCTTTCTTTACAAAGATAAGAAAAGGTGACAGGAGAAAGATTGATTCTTCAGTAGTGCTTCATAATTCAGTAGAACTTAATAATATTTTTAGTTATGGATAAGACAAAAAATTTACATGCTGAAAAGTTGAGTTTTTTCCCTTGCGATTTAAAGCAGAAATAGTTTTTTTTTTTTTCAAATTTAAAAAAAGTAGTGTCCGGTTTGAAGAGATAGAAAATAACGTTTCCGGGCCAAAATGACTGTCCGGAGAATGTACATGATGGTTTACTCACAGAAGATTCCCGGGGAATTAAAAATATGTCCATATTAGAGGCGTCCGTTTTGCAGGAGTGTCCATAACAGGAGGTTTCACTGTATTCTTTAGTGAATATTCATGAAATAAAAAAACAATAAAAATAACACTCTAAATTGATGAATAAAATATATAACAGAATAAGTTAAAATGTATGTTATTTTTGATGTGAAATATGCATTTTTCAAAAATAGTAATAGAAAATCATTCTAACTAAAAATATTCTATTACTTTGTTCTCAGTATTATAATTATTTGTCTACAGTGTAATATACCTAAAAAACATATCAGACCCCTTTTTTAAAGGACATTGATAAATAATTGTTTTGTAAATAGGGCACATATCTAAAAATAATTAGAAACCATGCATTTAAGCACAAAAATTTTTTTTTACCAAAAAATATGATAAAAAAAAAAAAGCTTACTTGAATCGTCCATGCCTTAACTTCATCTTTACCAGCAGTGAAGAAGTAACACAGCTGAAGACTTCGATATCCAGTCACAATTATCTTTTCTAAGTTACTAAATATAAAAAAATGTAACCATTCAGTTTATAAGTTTTAAAATTACAGCATCAGTTAAAAACAGGGTTGTGATTTTTTTTTGATTTTTTTTAAAAAAAAAATCAGATTTTTTTGATTTTTATTCAAATACATTGTAAAAATTTTATGATTAAAAAAACTTCATAAATGTTTAAATCAAAATTAAATTTATATTAAAACTATATTATAACAATATTTTAGAAGCTCTCTAACTTACTAAAATAATTTTTTATTATAATACATAACTTTAAATGCATAGCAACCATTTTGAAACAAATGCATGATTGAAATTTAAAGACTAGATCAAATAGAGAATTTAAAGAATACTTCAGGGGTCTATCTAGATTTTTCTGCGAGATACTTATTTTGTGAAAATTAAAAATTATATTAAAAAATCAACACAAAAATATGGATTTATCGTTTCTTATGAGACAAAAAAATAAAATTTTAAGAAAAAGTATTTTGTGAAATTTTACTAAAGTTGAATTTGTGAATGTACCGCTAAGCTGTAGTATATTTGGTTTGGTTCTTCAACTATTAAAAGAAGTTTCAATTAGCAAACCATAATTTCAATTTAAAATTTAAATTTTTTTTCTCTTGATTTTTAATATGACGAAATAAATATAACAGATTGTGTTTATAAATGTAGTCATTCATTAAAAAATAAATAAATATTTAATCTATATATTTTTATATTAAAATATTCATTTTTAATCCTACATCGAAATAGATAAGTTAAGCCCAAAAATGTTTTTAAAAAATCTACTTATGTACTACTACTACTTATGTAAAAATGTACTTATTGGAATTTTTTTTTCCACAAAATTTCTTAATGGAAAATCTGATAATATCAAAGGATACTGCAAACATATTATAAGAAAAAAATACCAGTTAGCAGTTAATAACTCTACTGCTTCAAATAGACTTTGAAAGGGAAGAGTGACACTATATCAGGAAAAAAATATCTGAGTTCATCATGAAAGGGAAGAATGCCAGGATATCAGGAAAAAAATATCTGAATTCATCAGCCTTTTTTATTCTTTCTATTTTTGACATATTAGGGTAATTTCTTTTTAATATAACCTCAAGCTTTAGAAATATACATTTTCCACCAATAAAATATATGATGTAGATTTTAATTCCACGCTTTTTCAATCAAAAAATAAAATTTTAACAAAAAATTTATTTGAATTTTTTTTTTGCAATTTTAAAGTTGTTGGACTTTAACACACACCAAGAAAGAAAGTTATTTCTTTAACTAAAATTAATTAATGCAGCAATTTATTTAAAATAAATTTCAAAACTAAGAAAAGAAAATAATAAAAGTATCAATAATTTAAAACACTGTTTTTTAACTTTTAAAATCAATATATATATAAAAAAAATCAGTTGATTTAAATCATGATTTAAATCAAGCTGATTTAAATCAACAAACCCTGGTTAAAAATATACTTAATACTCCAAAACTACAGAAAAAATTTATAAAATATCTATACAATAAATTTTATCAATACAAAAAGAAATACTTGATAAAATGATATTAAAACTTTTGACACAGAGAAATGTTTAATAGTCAACCTATTGAAGATTATAATGACCAAACACAAAAACTAGAATTATAAAAATCATGAGTTCTACATAATTAATTAGCCAGAAACAAGTTAAAATAAGGTTATAATTTTTTGTTTCTCCAAGTAATTTACATAAGCTATATAAAAATGAGAAAGAAGGTTTAATGCAACCTGAAAACGAACTCATTTTTTAAAATTTATAAGTATTACCTATCAAGGCACTCGATAAGCTTACTCTAAAAATTATATCAATAGGGATTTTCTAAAAGCTGTCTCAACTTCAAGGAATATTTGAAAAATATTCTCCAACTAGATGCATAATTTTTGTATTTACAATTTTTTTTTTTAGATCTAGCAAAGGTTATGTATTAATATATCAATAAATTATAATTACAATAATGCTTCCTGCCATTACCTATAAATAATTAAAACAGATACATAAAAGATCATGTATACAAATGGTTATGTAACAACATAAGTGAAGTTTTATAGCTACAAAATTTGTTTGAAAAATTTTCTCTATTGTTGGAAAAATTATTTTTCACAGAAACTGATACCCAATGCAGTTGAAATTTATAAATGTTGTAAGACAAACAATTCATAAAATATTTCAGATTGTACCATAAGTTTAATAAATTGATAAATGATGTACCTATTGGCACCAGCTTCAGTGCAGAATTTCTTCTTCTCTTCAGCATCTTCTATTTCTGAAACTTTATGTTCAAAAGCTCCACTGAAAGGAATCATGGCAGCTTTGGGATCATGTTTGTCTACCCATTCCTTGATTTTGGGTAACCTACAATAAAATCAATTTCAAAATAAAGTGACAATTGTCTTTGGTATAAGGCAGGTATAAAAAAAAATAGAAGAATTTATTATACATATACACTACAGCGCGAGAACGCGAGAATCTCGCATATTTTTTTCCTTTCTTGCATTAAAAATTGATTAACGCGAGAATTTTGTGCACTCTATTAATCAATTTTAAAATGCTCTAATTTCTCGAATTTTGGAAAAAATTTCATCTTTCACCATTTTGAAAAAGACATGTGTTAGAAAAGAACAGCTACGACAAGTATTGAGAAAAAAAATGAGTCCTTTATAATAAGTTGTTTAAAATTGCTCTATTTTTAGTTGTTAATGAATTACCAAACTCACTCATCGACAATTTACAGCAATTTGTAAGAGTTGGAAGTATGTGAAAATTATGCTGGAAGACCTAACAAGAAGTATGAACATGGAAATAACTTCAACGAACTTCATTATTCTATAGCCTAAATAATTCAAAAGCCTATGCAGGCAGATGTAGAGGATAGGAAAGTGTGTGCACAGTGCTACAAATTTAATTAGTGACTCCGAATAGTTCAGCATCTGTTGCAAGGTCATTTAGCACCCAAAACCGTATTAAGACAAAATATCGTAACAGATTGTCTGATAAGCATTTTAGCAACCTAATGAGAATAGCTGATGAAAAAGTAGATATAGAACCTTTTCCATGTATTAATGCAGCAAAAATATTCAATGCTTTAAAAATTAGAAAATGTTAAAAATGTATTATAATTAAAGAAATATTTTTTTCCCAAGTCTATTCGTGTTTTTTTTTTTTTTAATTTTTAGAAATCTCACTTAACTTTTTGAAATCTCACCCAGTTTTTGAGAAAGGGTGAGAAATTCTCTCTCATTTTTTTTCTGTAATGAAAACACTGTATAAAGTAGTCTTGATAATTTGAGGTAGATGGAACAGAGTCCATCTCGAATTATTGATATCTTAAAATTTAATAAATACAGTAGGGAACCGATTATCCGAAACGATTGCTATTCTGGATAACTGATTTTTCCGGTTTTCTGAATCGCTACAAAAAGATGTTTTTTTTTTATTGTCAAACCCAACCAAAAAAAACTAATGATTATTTCTAAAATGATGGTAAGGTAAACATCTTTTAAAAAAGAAAGAAAAATCCTAAAATCTTATGAGGAAATTTTTTGTTTGTTTTAAAAATGGCAGGAAAATTTATCGAATTTCATTTCGGATTTCTGATTTCCGGATAAGAGGTTCTGTACTGTATTTCAATAAATGGAAACAAAGCAATTTTTAAATTTTAGTATTTAACTGAAAAATATATTATATTTAAAGAAAATTTACTTACATTAGAGGATCAGGGAACATTTACTGTATTAAAAAAAATTACAATATTCATTATATTACTGCACCAAGTTAATTGTACTTTAGAACGTTTTTTTGATTAAACACACTATTCACATATTTCAGAGTTGAACGTACAATATCGTTTTTCGACAATCAGTCATAGAAATTGTCAAAAAATCAATCATAGTAATTGTGCCACATGTTCTGTGTGAGGTTTGTCATTCAGGGTGGCCACTCAAATCGGGTTTCAAATTTCCCTGATTTTTCCAGTTAAAAATCCTAAAATTTCCAGGTCAATATGCTTTTTTTCCTTCATAAAGTTTAGCATGGGATGCTGATTGAAAGTTTAGCCTGATTTATGAAGTTTTTTTAATCATAAAATTTTTACAATGTATTTGAATAAAAAAAAAAAAATCTGATTTAAAAAAAAAAAAAAAAAAATCACAAGAAAAGTGTTAATATTATAAAGTATTTTATTTAAAATATTTTTTTAATGTTATTTTATCATCTTCGACTCATGGGATAGAGTGCTAGCCAGGTCACCTTATGGGAATGAGGTGACCTGGAAAGGTTCTCTATTCTTTAAGAAACCATGGAAGTTTAACAGGGTTATAATGAACCAAATTTTGATGCAAGCAAAGTATTGCTAAGTTGATGGCATTTCAACTGTTTGGCAATGAATTTTCGTCTAAAAGTGGGTATAACAGTTGGTAAAATAATTTTAATTAGGAAAATTAGTAAATAATTTAAATTAGTAAAATTAAGAACAAAGAAAAAATTCCAGCTTTTCTTTAAAAAAATCCCTGATTTTTCCAGGTTTCTGTCCAAATATCCTTGATTTTTTCAGGTTTTTTCCAGTATAAAAAAATTCTCTGATAACTCCAGGTTTTCAAGGTTTACCAGGTGGGTGGCCACCCTGTCATTATTTGGAAACAAAGCTAACTTTTTTTCAGTAGCTCGGATTTACAGGAAATTCAAAGAACCGAGACTCGAATTATCAAGACTCTATTGTATATATAAAATAAATTAATAAAAAAAAAATAGAAGAATGCATTTAAAAAAGAATTAGAAGACTATTTTGATTAATTGCTGCTTTATGGTAACCCCATATGTTAAAGTATCTCGGAGAAATAATTAAATTTTAGAAATTTTAAGTTATAGCAAAGAAGAATAAAATGGTAAATTAAATGATAAAATGTTTAATTTTTATTTTAATGATAAATGTTTAAAATTTATGAATGAAATGACTCCTAAAAGTCCTCCTTAATAATAAGCAAAATTCAATTTGTCATCACCAGACCTTAATCTTATACGGCCTATAAACTTGAAGTTTATTATGATTACTTTTAAGGGATTTTAAAAAGCACATGATTTGTAAAGCTTCTTTATAATTCATTTATTTCAATATTGTAAGGAACATTGGAAAATGTTTAAAAAAAGTAAGAGATAAAAAGAAGTAAATTATTTTATAAAAAATATGGTGAGCATAAGCACATAATATAGGTAATTACACGCACATAGGTAACTACAGGTTATCTTTTTCAGGCAAATGATGCATGAAGTTAAGAAAAAAAAAACCTGTTCATGTTTAAAAAAAAAAGTGTTTGTGTTTAACAAAAGAGATTACAAATGTTCTTTTTTTCTGCGACAACAAAATGAGTCATTAAAAATTAAATGGAAATGTCTCGAAAAAATATCTCCTCATCCCCAAAACAGAATCCAGTTCCCATACGATTAATCCGAACACTATGTATTTCTCACTAAAACACTCCCCTTATGGTATGGTATGTCTTGTGAGTCAATTATGATTAATTTGGCTGAAAATAAACTCCATCATCAAATATTACAAAATATTCACTCTATATGTTAAATAATGAAACTTCAGAAAATTCTGTCAACTAACCAAACTATTAAATAGATGCATTTTTTAACCGATAACTTAACCAGATATGCTACTTTCGTATTAGCCGGTGACCATTTTTGCAAATTCTGAAAATATGTTTGGACGTGGTTCAAATTTAAAAAAAAAATGTGATCACATGTGTAGCGATCACAGGTTGCCCATTGGCAAAACGGTTGTTGTCTAATTTTTTTTTTTTTTGGAAAAGCAACTGCATTGTGATTTCCTCTTGAACATCTTTAACTGTTAATCCTGAACTGCTCAGTACACAATTCCGCAGAGATATTTCAATGCAGCTCAGACACATTCAGTGTAAATTCTTTTGATGACTGAATAGACATTGGACAGCCAATTGAGATCAATATTAACATTTTCGGATTGGTACAATGGTGTTTGAAGGAAATTGTAAGATGAATCATATATCCGTTTCGGATTCACAAGTTCATACATTAAATATGATTTGAAAGCTTGGCCTTTTTTTTTCAATTTTATATGAATAGTGAATGATTCATTTATATTGCGTGGAAGACAGTCTACAGTCCAGGGTTGGGTTTTTGACGTCAAAAAGTGGTTTTTGACATGACAAGGGTATAATACTGGTTTAAACCGTCAAAAACCCGTCAAAAATGTCAAAAACTGAAGTTTGCCAAGAAAATATATAAACTTCAAAACTACCAACAGTTGCCATGCATTATATTGAAATTTAATTATACTATAGGTAATCAGCAGGTTTTAAAATATTTTTTAATTAAAATTAAGGTAAAATAACAGATTTAAAATCTCAGAAATTTATATTCAAATGC